TAATAATTTTGAGTTTTATTCCACATTGTTCTCCCATTCTATCCAGGATCTCCTCCATAGATCCCCCTCCGAGTGGTTAACAATGGTAGCCAGGCACCATCTAGTTCTTCTGGTCTCATAGTCTTATAGGCTGAGGATTGCATATTTTACCAGTCTCTTGGACTAATGGTTTCCATGCATCTTTGGTTTTCTTCATTCTTCTTGGCTCTGGACAAGGAGAGACCCACTATTGCATCTAGATGGCGGCTTGCAAGCTTTTAAGATCCCAGAGGCTACTCACCAAAGTGGGGTGTGGAGCAATGTATTTGTGTAGTATGTTATGCCAATTGAGCTTGATGTCCCCTGCAACTATGGTCCTGAGTCAATGGCTGATTTTTTAGAAGTAGATTACCAGGACTTTCTTTCAAGGCACCTCAGGGTGGACTTGAGCTATCAACATTGAGGTTGACAGTATTGTTATTGTTGTTATGTACTGTTGAGTCGGACCCAACTCATAGAGACCCCTCCTTGGGTTTCCGAGGCAGTATCACTATAGAAGTAGATTGCCCCATCTTCCTTCCAAGGAGTGGCTGGTGGGTTTGAGCTGCCAACCTTTTGGTTAGCAGCCAGGTGCCATAGGCACTACGCTACCAGATCTCCCGAGGTTGGTAATAGAGTGCCTTAACCTGGGTTAACACCTCAGTACTCCTCCTATTCCTTGAGGGCCAGTTGAATCAGAATCTAAGGTGAAGATGAGGTCTGAGACTTCCATAATTTTGAGAAGAATCCCTAGATTCTGATACAGAATGGCTCTAGGGAGCCATCTTCTTAAAGCCCATGAGGTTAGTTACAAAAATGTTGAGAAGGAGCCAACAAGGTAGACTGAGAGTGCCAACACATATCAGATGAAGAGACGGCATGTGACAAGGCAGAGGAGTTTGGTCAGTGAGGATACTGTTTAGCTGGGGCGTGATGCTGGGGTAGAGGATGTTGAAGGGTGTGATGGAAAACATAACCTGAGATCATGAGGCTATGCATGAGAGGCCAGCATTAGGAGCAGTGGTTATCACATTTTAGAGTAAGTTGGAAGCACCTGGAGGTTAAACTTGTTAAACTCAGATTCCTGTGTTCCCCTCCTACAGGTTCTTATTCATTAGATTCAGCACGGGGTCTGAGAATCAACATTTCTAACAAGCTCCCGGGTGATACTGGAACCTCTAGTTTTCAGATTGCCCTTTAGCCTTTGGGACCCCGTGGATGGTGAAAATGCTTAATGTGTTTGGCTGCTAACCAAAAGATTGGTGGTTCAAGTCCATCCAGAATTGCCTTAGAGGAAAGGCCTAGCCAGCTATGGCTGAAAAATCCACCACTGAAAATCCTATGGCACACAGTTCTACTCTGACATGTGTGTGATCCAGGAGTTTTCATAAGGATTCTCTGAATTTTTGGAAGCTTTTATTATTTGCGATTTCAAAACTGAGAAACCAAAACAAAGGCTCCCTTTACCTGATTTCACCTATAGAACCTAAAAATTTGAAAGTACTCCCCTGTTCTCAGAGACTCCAAGTTTGCTAAGGTGGCTGAACTGTCAGGAAGTGACTTTCCTGACCACCTGAGGGGGAGAGTCATTTTCCCAGAGGATTTTGCAGGCCAGGCCCATTATGTTAAGTCCACCCTTGTTCCTTAAGAGTGGCTTATCATGCCTGATTGCATGAGAGTCATTCTCAAAAATAGGACTTTTCTTTTTTTAATTTTTATTGTGATTTGGGTGAAAATCTACAGAGCAAATTCATTTACCACACAGTAGTTCATACAAAAATGTGAGTTTTCGGGTACAGCTTTGGTTACACAACTGATTTGTCCAATCCTATTCTAAACTAGGTCATTTTCAATTATGATAAGTGATATGTAGGATTCAAAATACAATAAGAGGTAAGTCTTTTATCATAAATGCCCAATCATAGAGCAAAGGGCAGGGCGAACTTATCTTTGGGCTTTCAAGATGGTCAATACCAAGTTTGTGGAGGACATTGTGTGTTGACCATCTGCCACTTGTCTTGCTGAATATGTCAGGCTGGAAACAGAAGAGAGAATGCATTTTCAGGCCATGTTGACAGGAGTAACCAAATGAGTTGGATAGAGAAGGAGGAGGAATTAGAGATGGAGGAGGCTGGATTTATGGCTTGGGTAGTTTTGTGGATGGTGGTCACTTTTACCAAGATGGGTTATGCAGAAGGAGGAAGTAGGAGGGAGAAGGTGACAAATTTATAGCTAATTGGACTTACGGGGCCAGGACAGGGCTGAGTCCATCCCCAGGCCCCACCTCCCAGTCTAAGGATCTTTCCACCTGCTCTGTTGTTTCCCAGGTTTCCACCCAGCGCAAGGTCAACATTTACAACATCCTCCAGGAAATCATCCAGCAGGAAGGAGAGCTGGAGGAGCAGTGTGTCCAGAGGCTGGTGGCCATTGCCTCCAACGAGATGAGGGAGGCCCCAGAGGTAGTAGAGCCCTGAGCTTCATTGGTGACTCCCCTCCTGCCAGCCAAAGAGCTGACCCCTTGGGCATGGCCAGTGATGTGCATGGCCTTTGTCCAGTTACCCTGTGCCCAGGGCAATCCAGTGGGGGTGGAAGGGGTGTGATGTAGGAGTTTTTATGAAGTCCCACAGCTGAAGATGGTACCACACACTCTTCTCCCATTCTCCTGAAGAAGGAAGGCTACATGAATGCAGAGGTGGCCAGTGATACCCTGGTGGCTCTGTCCCGAAACCACTTCAGCTTGGTCATGTATGAGCTGCAACACCACCTCAAGCCCCTCAACCTCACTGATGAGTTTGTCATCGTCACCTTGGCCAAGCTGGCCAATGGCAATGGTAGGAGTCTACCCCCAGTCTCCATGCTCCAATTTCCAGCCCCTTCAGACTGGTCCAGTGCTCTCTCATGGTTTCTGCCTCTCTCCTCATCTCTGCCTCTGTTGCTGTCTTTGTCTCTGTTCCACACTTCCTATCGCTCTGTTCTCATCTTTCTTTGCTATTTCTTTTTGTCACTTCTGTATACTTCAACTGTTAAGATTCTCCGTGTTTCTGCCTCTCGTCTGTATCTCTTTGTTTGTTGGTTGTTCTCTCTCTCAGTGTCTCTGTGCATCTCTCCTGCCGCCTCTGCCTCATTTCTGTCTTCACGTCTCTCTCTCTGTTCTTATTTTCTATCTGTCTCTCCCTTCGCCTTTCATTCCACAAACATGTACTGAATTCTTTTTCCATGCCAGGCATTGTGGTGGGTGCTAGTAAAGAAAACATCCATGGTCTCTGCTCTCATATGGGACTATTGTTGTTGTTGTTAGGTGCCGTTGAGTCAGCTCCAACTCATAGTGACCCTATGTACAACAGAACAAAATACTGCCTAGTTCTGTGCCAGCCTCACAATCCTTGTTATACCTGAGCCCATCATTGTAGCCACAGTGTCAGTCCATATCACTGAGGACCTTCCCCTTTTTTTGCTGACCCTCCACTTTACCAAGCATGATGACCAAAGTAAGTGAGACAAATTCTAACCATTCTCGCTTCCAAGGAGTATTCTGGCTGCACTTCTTCCAGGACAGTTTGTTCATTCTTCTGGCTGTCCATGGTACCTTCAGTATTCTTATCCAACACCACAACTCAAAAGTGTCAACTCTTCTTTTGTCTTCCTTATTCATCATCCAGGTTTCACATGCATAGGAGGCTATTGAAAATACCATGGCTTGAGTTAGGCTTACCTTAGTCTTCAAAGAGATATCTTTACTCTTCAGAACTTTAAAGATGTCTTTTGCAGCACATTTGCCTAGTGCAGTATGTAGTCTGATTTCTTGACTGCTGCTTCCATTGATGTTGATTGTGGAACCAAGTAATATGAAATATTTGACAACTTCAGTGTTTTCTCCATTTATTGTGATGCTGCTTATTGGTCCAGTTGTGAGAATTTTCATTTTCTTTATGCTGAGGTATAATCCATACTGAAGACTGTAGTCTTTAATCTTCATCAGTAAATGCTTCAAGTCATCTTCACTTTCAGCAAGCAAGGTTTTGTTGTCTGCATATTGCAGATTTTTAATGAGTCTTCCTCCAATCCTGATGCTGTGTTCTTCTAAAGAAGTTCATCTTCTTGGATTATTTGCTCAGCATACAGATTGAATAAGTATGGTGAAAGGACACAATCCTGATGCACTCCTGTCCGGCTTTTAAACCATGCAGTGTCCCCTTGTTCTGTTTGAATGACAGCCTCCTTGTCTATGTACAGTCTCTTCATGAGCAGTTAAGTGTTCTGGAATTCCTATTCTTCTCAGTGTTATCCATAATTTATTATGATCCACACAGCTGAATGCTTTTGCATAGTCAATAAAACACAAGTAAACATCTTTCTGGTATTCTTTTCTTTCAGTCAAGATTCATCTGACATCAGCAATGATATCCCTTGTTCTGCATCCTCTTCTGAATCCAGCTTGCATTTCTGGAAGTTCTCTGTCAATATACTGCTGCAATCGTTTTTTAATTATCTTCAGTGGGATTTTACTTGTGTGTGATATTAATGATATTGTTCGATAATTTCCACATTCTGTGGTATCACCTTTCTTTGGAATGGGTACAAGTATGAATTTCTTTTAGTCAGTTGGCCAGGTAACTGTCTTCTAAATTTCTTGGTGTAGACATGTAAGTGTCTCCAGTGCAGCATTCATGTGTTGAAACATCTCAGTGGGTATTCCATCAGTTCCTGGAGCCTCATTTTTTTTTTTTTTTTCCAGTTCCTTCAGTGCAGCTTCAACTTCTTCCTTCAATACCATTGGTTCTTGATCATATGCCGCCTCTTGAAATTGATGAACATTGACCAATTCTTTTTGGTACAGTGACTCTATGAATTCCTTCCATCTTGCATCATTCAGTATTTTGTGCATAGAATCTTGCAATATTGCAACTCAAGGCTTGACTTTTTCCTTCCATTCTTTCAGCTTGAGAAATGCTGAACATATTCTTCCCTTTTGGTTTTCTAACTCTAGGTCTCTGCACATTTCATTATTATAATTGACTTTGTCTTTCTGAGCTGCACTTTGAAATCTTCCATTCAGCTCTTTTGTCTTGTCATTTCTTCCATTTGTTTTAACTACTCTCCCTTCAAGAGCAAGTTTCAGAGTTTCTTTTGACAACCATTTTGGTCTTTTCTTCATTTCTTGCCTTTTTAATGACTTTTTGCTTTCTTCATGGATGATGCTCTTGATGTCATCCCACGATTTGTCTGGTTTTCAGTCATTGGTGTTCAACGCATCAAATCTATTCTTCAGATGGTCTCTAAATGCAGGTGGGATATAACCAAGATCATAATTTGGCTCTCATGGACTTGTTTTAACTGTCTTCAGTTTCAGCTTGAACTTGCATATGAGCAGTTGATTATCTGTTCCACAATCAGCTCCTGGTCTTCTTTTGGCTTAAGATACTGAGCTTCTCCATTGTTTCCTTCCACAATTGCAGTCAATCTGATTCTTGTGTATTCCATCTGGTGAGGTCCACATGTATAGCCACCATTTATGCTGTTGAAAAAGGTATTGTAATGAATAAGTTGTAGGTCTTGCAAAATTCTATCATGTGATCTCTCACATCATTTCTTTCATCAAGACACATTTTCCAACTGCTGGACTGCTGGACTACTGGTAATTCTTCCTTGTTTCCAGCTTTCACAATCCAATCACCAGTAACAATCAGTACATCTTGATTGCATGCTTGGTCAATTCAGAGCACAGAAGTTGGTAAAATCTTCAATTTCCTCATCTTTGGCTTTAGTGGTAGGTGCATAAATTTGAATATTAGTAGTATTAACTGGTCTTCCTTGTAGGCTTATGGATATTATCCTATCACTGAGAACTTTGAGCTCCAGGATAGATCTGAAAACTATAAACAAATAAAGTAGTGAATATATGGTTATGAGATAATGCATATGAAGAAAACAGGTAGGCAGATCTCTGAGATCAGGATGGAGGAAGGGGCCTCATCTCTGCAGGGTCCTGAGAGAGGTAACAATATCTCAGCTGAAATCTGAAGCTGAGAGCTGAAATCTGAAGCTGAGAGGAAGAATCCCTGTGGAGAACTAGATAGGGCAGGGAGACAATTCCACACCCACACAACATCATGTGCAAAGGCCCTGGGGGCAGGAATGAGCTTGGTTCCTCTGAAGAACTGAGAAGTCATTGTGGCTGAACTTAGAGAAGGGGAAAGATGGGGCTGGAGAACTAAGCAGGGCCTAGTTGCCACAGGAAGGAGTCTAGGCAGTCTTTGAAGGCAACGGGAAGCTATTTCAAGCTGCAGAGTCAATTGATCACATTTAGACCCTAAAAAGATTCTGGCTATTTGTGGATGGAGAAGATAGGTAGTGTGTAACTGTGAGGAGATGGTGACTTGGGCTGGGCTACATTTTGTGAGAAGCAGTCACCTGTGAGACAAGATGGAGCTCAAATCATAGGACTTGCTGATGAGTTACATGTAGAAGGTGAAGGAAAGAAAAATTGGTGAAGACTGTCTGAGAAGTAGTATGCAGGAGTGAGGGGCATATGGAAACTTTCTGTCTTTCTGCACAATTCTTCTATAAACTTAAAACTTCTCTAAAAACTAAAGTCTACAAAAGAGGAATAATTCCAAGTTTTGGGTTTGAGCAACTGGGTGTACAGTGGGTTCATTTCCCAAAATGTGAAGGGCTGAGATAGAAAGACAGTTCAGGGTTTAAGATTTTAGCTTTGCATGTATTAAGTCTGAATTGTTCATAAGATGCGTCAGTGGAGAGATCGAGGGGCAATAGGTTTGCAGCTGCAGAGTTGAGTGGATAGGACTGGGCCTGGAATCATATTGGATGGTCTCAGCATGCAGGGGTGTTCAAAGCTATTGAAAAGCTTTAGTGTGTTCAAACCCAGGTAGTAAAAGTAGCGAGAGAAGGGAAGGGGACAAGGACCCAGCCCAGAGGAGACTCAACATTGAGATGGCCTAAGTGGAATGAAAGAGACCTGGAGGAAAGAAGCCAACAGGGTAGTGTCTGGAAACTGAGAGGAGAGTAATTCAGTAGCGAGTGGTCAGCAGTGTCCAGTTCTGCTGAGGGGTCAATAAGAAGATGCTAGAGGAGGTGGTTGGGGAAGAAGAGTTTCACGGTGGGAGTGGGATGGAAGCTTGGATCAAGTGGGTTCCCAGGAGACAGGAAAAGAGGAAGTGAAGATAGGGTGTAAGGCAACTTGCCATGAGGGGAGAAGAGAAGTACAGTGGCAGGTGGAGGGACATACAGGGTCGGGGAGGGTCTAGGTTTGTCTGTGTGCTGACAGTAAAGGCCCAGGAGAGAGAAAGCAGGTCCAAGGTGCTAGAGAGAGGAAGCCCAGGTAGGAAAGTACAGTCTGGGGGAAGGTGTGTGAGGCTCCAAGGTGGGTGGACAGGCCAAACTCAGAGGGGGCAACCTTCCCTCCTGTGGAAGGGTGGATCTGTCACTAGTTTCTCTTTCTTCCAGAAACTTCTTTTCTCCCCCTTTCCCATCTCTACATTTCTTCCTTTCTCTGTTCTCTTTTCTCCTGCTTGCCTGGGGTCTCAGTCTACTCTCATTTGCCCAAGGACATCTAGGTGGCACTCATAGGAGCCAGACACCTGCCTGTGGAGCAGGACCTGCTCTGGTGATCAACCTCGGTCCCCTCTGTTGATGCCACCCCAAAAGGGGGTCTGTGCTCATACTCTGGTTAAGAGTAACTCAGGAGCAAACAGATTGGCACTTTCTGCATAGCTTTTATTATTTGCTAGCAAACAAAGAGACAGGAGAAATATTTTCCTAAAGCACTATCTCCCTGAATAAAAGTAGTTGGGGAAGTTTTAAAGCCTATGGG